CTCAGGGACACAGAATCGTTACTCAGGGACACAGAATCGTTACTGAGGGACACAGAATTGTTACTCAGGGACACAGAATTGTTACTCAGGGACACAGAATCGTTACTGAGGGGACACAGAAATCGTTACTCAGGGACACAGAATCGTTACTCAGGGACAGAGAATCGTTACTCAGGACAACATAATCGTTACTCAGGGACACAGAATCGTTACTCATGTACACATAATCGTTACTCAGGGACTCAGAATCGTTACTCAGGGACACAGAATCGTTACTGAGGGACACAGAATCGTTACTCAGGGACACAGAATCGTTACTCAGGGACACAGAATCGTTACTGAGGGAACACAGAATCGTTACTCAGGACACAGAATCGTTACTCAGGGACACAGAATCGTTACTCAGGGACACATCAAATCGTTACTTATGGACACAGAATCGTTACTGAGGGACACAGATCGTTACTCAGGGACACAGAATCGTTAACTCAGGGACACAGAATCGTTTACTCAGGGACACAGAATCGTTTACTGAGGGACACAGAATCGTTACTCAGGGACACAGAATCGTTACTCATGGGACACAGAATCGTTACTCAGGGACACAGAATCGTTACTGAGGGACACAGAATCGTTACTGAGGGACACAGAATCGTTACTCAGGGACACAGAATCGTTACTCAGGGACACAGAATCGTTACTCAGGGACACAGAATCGTTACTCAGGGACACAGAATTGTTACTCAGGGACACAGAATCGTTACTCAGGACACAGAATCGTTGATTTAAAGAGTACGTCAGACAACACGCAGAGGAGTGGCAGAGGAGGCAATGTTTCAGGAGCGAGCAGACGTGGCAGCAGAGGAAGGGTCGAGGCAGCACTAGTCGCAGCCAGAGGCCAGTGCTCCCGGTGTCATCCAGCGGTCGTGTCTCCACCGACAACCCTGCCGTCATCGATTGGTTGGCTCGGTCGTCTTCCTCTTCCCAGGTCACCTCTGACACCTACAGCCAACGGACGGTGGGTACGTCAGACACAACCGTTAGTTGGCATGGCCCGGGGAGCAAGCCCACTGAAATCATCACGTGTCCTCTACCTGCCCCCTGTCCTTTGGTGTTCCCTCACCAAGCGAAGTATCGCATGCTGTGGGCTCAGCCCCACTGTACAGTGAGGAAAGAGCTAACAGAGGGCGGTCAGGAAACGGGGGGAGACATCCGCCTCTTCAGCAGCCAGGCGAAGAAGTACTGGCGAGGAGAGTGGCTCGGTTGGTAGTCGGTCTAGAGACAGGTCTGTCTCCTGACCCACACGCAAGCCGAGGGGGCTAGTAGTGAGGCGGAGACCCTAATTGATGATGATGAGGCTGCTGATTGCACTTGGCAGCCTTGTCGTCATCAGGCTGTATTGCTTCCGCATCATCAGGAGAAGAGGGTGCCAGCTTGGCAGCGAGCAAAACAGTCGGTGGGTTGCCCAGGAGGCAGCAGGGTCGCAGCAGTGTCAGTGGAGGCAAACGACCACGGAGTAGAGCACCAGCTCCACTGCAGCCTACCCACCACGGCCAGTAGTGGGTGCCGGGTGTGCACGGAGGAAGTAGCAGTCAGCCAGTGAGGAGTAGCGGGGGCAAAGTTCCTACTCGGCGGTGTGGCAATTTTTCGTCCAAGCCGCCCGAGGAAGTAAACGTAGCCGTATGTCGACTATGTGGCCAGAAAGTCAAGCGTGGCCAGGGGGCCCATGTTGGGACTACTACAGCGTTGCGTCAGCATATGCAGCGTCGCCATTCGGGTGGCCTGGGGAAAACCGTGATAAAGATACGGCGGTTCTGCCTGCCCCAGCCCCCGCTCCATCACCCCGCTCCGTTACTTGCTCCGTCACCCGACGTCAATCGCCCTTTATCAGCCAGTCAAGGCTCCAACACCTCTGCTGAGGGGAGTTGTCGCTCGTTGGCATCTTCCGCTCGTTCAGATGCTCCTTCTCCTGCTACTACTCCTCTTCACGGATTCCGTCAGCAGTCCTTTTCTTGGAATCCGTTCCCAAGAGACAACAGTTTGCGAGCACGCACCCGACGGTGCAGAAGCTGAACGTCCTCCTGTCCAAGTTGCTGGTGCTGCAGTCCCTCCCTTTCCAAGTGGTGGACTCAGCACCTTTCCGAGAAATGATGGCTTGTGCCGAGCCGCGGTGGAGAGTGCCAAGCCGGCATTTCTTCGCCAAAAAGGCAGTGCCAGCCCTGCATTCACATGTAGAAGAGATGGTGGGCCAGTCTTTGAGCATGTTGGTCTCTGCCAAAGTGCACGGCAGCGCCGACGTGTGGAGCTATAACTACGGTCAGGGACAGTACATGTCATTTACGGCCCACTGGGTGAACGTGGTGCCGGCACAGCCGCACCAGCAACTTGGACAGGTCACGCCGCTTTTTTTGCCTCCACGTTTGCACGTCCTTGGTCCAGCAAAGATGTCCGCCTCTACCACCTCTTCTTCCGCCGTGTCCTCAGCCGCCACCCCCCGTGCCAAGTCCCATTACCCCGACCGGCATATCACATGTGCAGGGCGCAACGGTGTCACGCTGTGCTGCACCTGGTATGCCTTGGCGAACGTAGTCACACAGGGGAGGAACTTCTGAGTGTAATGAAACAGAGAAATCAACAGATGGCTGTCTACGCGCAAACTGAAAATCGGAACCATGTTGACCGACAACGGAAAGAACATGGTGTCTGCTCTGCGTCAAGGAAGGTTGTGCAATGCGCCATGCATGGCTCACGTGTTCAATCTGGTTTGTCAAGCGGTTCCTAAAATCCACCATCCCACTGTAAGACATCCTTAAAATGTCACGTAAACTTTGCATGCATTTCAGCCATTCCTACACCGCAAAGCACACCCTCCTTGAGCTGCAGCGGCAGAACGGAATTCCACAGCATCGCCTGATCTGCGACGTTGCAACAAGGTGGAATATCAACCCTACATATGTTAGACCGCCTTTATGAACAGCGAAAGGCCATCACCGATTTCCTGATGTTACAAGCGGATAAAGGTACTCCCCTGTGTAACTTAGATGTCAGCCATTGGCAGCTCATCGGCCAGGACTATGGGATGAACGACGTCATTCCTCTGTTGCACGTCCTGGAACAAATGCTGTTAACAATGGCTGGTCAGGTGCGGTAGACGTGGTGCACAGATCTCAACGCCACATGACCCCTGTGGGGCAGGACAGGAAGAAGAGGAGGAGTAGAGGAGGACATTGGTGCTCAGAATTATTGAGTGAAAATGGGTGGTTTTTCCACTCAGCGGACAGGAGTGGAGGAGCAGGAGCATCTGGTAGAGGAGGAGGGGAGACAGAGGACCCAGACACACCGTGGCAGTATGCTGTGGAGATGGAGGCAGGAGTCCCTCGCATTCCTTGGCACAAATGGCCCATAGCATGCTCGGTTGCTTGCGTAGCGACAGCCGAATAATAACCATCAGACAGAGGGATGACTTTTGGCTGTCCACCTTGTTGGACCCTCGCTATCGTTCAAAAATGGTGGCCTTTTTCACACCTGCTGAGAGGGAGGCCAAAATAACGTACTATAAAAACCACCTATGTAGTCAGTTGGTCTCTGCCTTTCTGCGCCAACTATCCATCCTCAGACACTGTGGGCCCTGTGCGCTCGCGTTCCACTGCCATGGCAGCAGGGGAGGGGTGGGGTGGTAGGAGCAGTGGCAGCTCCACCAGCAGCAGCTGCCTCAGTCTGCAGTTGATGATGATAGCTTTCTTCACCAGCGCAGTGAGGAAACTACTAACCAGCCGCAGCAGCAGCAGCATCAGGTGGACCTGGAGCAGGACCTCAAACAACAGGCTCGGGCCTACTTGGACAGCACCCTGCCAACCGAGGTAGACAATCCCCTTGACTACTTGGGCAACGAAACTTGACCTTTGGCCCCAACTAGCTGAATTTGCCCTTGAAAGGCTGTCATGCTCGGCCAGTAGCGTGGCATCGGAGCGCGTGTTTAGTGCGGCAGGAGGTATTGTAACTCCGCGGAGGACACGACTGTCCACCCAAAGTGTGAAGAGACTCACGTTTGTGAAAATGAATCAGGCGTGGGTTAGTCTGGATTTCAAACCACCAGTTCCTGACACAACTGACTGAATAAAATCCGCCATGAATCATGCCCCAAACATGTTATTATTTTTAACATAGGCCTCTGTATGGCCTTCAATTTAAGCTGCTTACGCTTCGCCACTCTGCCATGGGCCCCTGTACCGCCTCCTCTTGCTGCTGCCAGGTCCAGAGTGTGTCATGGGTCCCTGTACGGCCTCCCATTGCTGCTGTCTCCATCGCCACACTCTGCCATGTGCCACTTTCAGGTCTCCTCACACTGCTGGTGGGTTCCATTTTGTCATAGGGTGCTGGCAGATTACGGGCCTCCCATTGCTGCTGCCAGGCCCGTAATCTGCCATGGGCCCCGTACCGACTCCTCATGCTGCTGCCAGGCCCGTAATCTGTCATGGGCCCCTGTACCGTCTCCTCATGCTGCTGCCAGGTCCAGAGTGTGTCATGGGTCCCTGTACGGCCTCCCATTGCTGCTGTCTCCATCGCCACACTCTGCCATGTGCCACTTTCAGGTCTCCTCACACTGCTGGTGGGTTCCATTTTTTTGTCATAGGGTGCTGGCAGATTACGGGCCTCCCATTGCTGCTGCCAGGCCCGTAATCTGCCATGGGCCCCCGTACCGACTCCTCATGCTGCTGCCAGGCCCGTAATCTGTCATGGGCCCCTGTACCACCTCCTCATGCTGCTGCCAGGTCAAGAGTGTGTCATGGGTCCCTGTACGGCCTCCCATTGCTGCTGTCTCCATCGCCACACTCTGCCATGTACCACTTTCGGTCTCCTCACACTGCTGGTGGGTTCCATTTTGTCATAGGGTGCTGGCAGATTACGGGCCTCCCATTGCTGCTGCCAGGCCCGTAATCTGCCATGGGCCCCCGTAACCGACTCCTCATGCTGCTGCCAGGCCCGTAATCTGTCAGCCTTGGGCCCCTGTACCGCCTCCTCATGCTGCTGCCAGGTCCAGAGTGTGTCATGGGTCCCTGTACGGCCTCCCATTGCTGCTGTCTCCATCGCCACACTCTGCCATGTGCCACTTTCAGGTCTCCTCACACTGCTGGTGGGTTCCATTTTGTCATAGGGTGCTGGCAGATTACGGGCCTCCCATTGCTGCTGCCAGGCCCGTAATCTGCCATGGGCCCCCGTACCGACTCCTAATGCTGCTGCCCAGGCCCGTAATCTGTCATGGGCCCCTGTACCGCCTCCTCATGCTGCTGCCAGGTCCAGAGTGTGTCATGGGTCCCTGTACGGCCTCCCATTGCTGCTGTCTCCATCGCCACACTCTGCCATGTGCCACTTTCAGGTCTCCTCACACTGCTGGTGGGTTCCATTTTTGTCATAGGGTGCTGTAATGGCCTCCCATTGCTGCTGCCTCCACCGCCACACTGTGGCTCCACACTCTGGTTTTGGCCCCGTGACTGCCGAAATGAGTGAAGTGTGCGGTGATTCTAAGATCGACGGCACTCATCTGCATGTCATACTGACTGACAGTATTATTTCTCTTCCCCAGCAGACTCCAAGGGCATTTAAATTAAAGGTACAGTGTTCTGCACTAATATAAAAGGCTCTCTGAAGCCTAGAAACACCCTTTTTATAAGTTAAATTCGCAGCGAATATATTCGACTCGAATCGAATTTATTCCGCGAATTCGGCAAATTAGCCGAATCGAATTTTTGAATACTTCGCTCATCTCTACTCAGAAGGAATACTCAGGCACGTGCTACAGGACCAGTTATGGGAGGGGGAATACTGTAGATTTGTGTAAGATTGTATGTACTCTCCAGCGCCTCAGGCTATGCACAGCCAAAAGGGAAGCCAAGGGTACCAGAACAGCGACAACCAAAGGAAATGCTTCAGGGGTGCAGCCCTCCTCAGACGGGGAAATCAGCCACTGGATAGAGAGAAAACAGGTGGCGCACACACCTAGTGCATTATCCAAGGTTTATTGTAGGAGTGAAAGAATAATAAAAACATACTCACAGATGAAGCATGTATCTAAAAAGCATAGAAAAATGACAATGGCCACAACGGCAGGCAAGGTGTTCTCACTGTCAGTGCGGTCAAATGGCTGACGCGTTTCGGGGACGAATCCCTTTCCTCAGAGCTGATGACCAACCTCTGATGCTGATGTATGATGAATGGAAAGTAAGAGCCTTGCTGTTGATGCAAGGCTCTTACTTTCCATTCATCATACATTACCTGCCGTTGTGGCCATTGTCATTTTTCTATGCTTTTTAGATACATGCTTCATCTGTGAGTATGTTTTTATTATTCTTTCACTCCTACAATAAACCTTGGATAATGCACTAGGTGTGTGCGCCACCTGTTTTCTCTCTATCCAGTTGTGTAAGATTGTAAGCTGTTGTGCTGCACCGCAGGCTAGCCCATACCGTACACCCATACACTGATTCCTGCTCTTTTAGGGTAATAACGGGTAAGGTGTGGCAGCTTAGTTGTGCCCGCCAGTAGGTAAATTACTACACCTTCTACCTTCATCCATCAGAAGGCGCCGTGCTGTGCAGCACAAGGGTCTCAGCCCTTGGGCTGGGTGTATGTAAATTTATTGTATGTTTTCAGCATTTATGGTTGTGTTTATTTGCCACTAAGTAAAATTTTGTTGTGGCAAAAGCTGGTGTTGGGGTTGCTTTCCTCGTCCGTAGCTTCACTGTATCCTGGGGAGCCCACCCCGGTACACGGCTTACACCTGGGCCTGATAAAATCCAGCGATGTGCACGTGAGCAGCCCACTCTATCCACTGTAAGTATAAGTATAGACAAGTTTGTTATTGAAAAAAAAAATAACAAATGTAGCACTACCCCTGCAGAAGCTTCTGAGTTTTTGGATCCCCCCAGCCAGGTAACACGCGTTTTTCACACTTTCATCCAAAGTCAGTAAAACAGTCCTTGAGCTTGCTTTTTGTTGTTTTATTAGGGGTTAATAACTTGTATGGGGTCTAGGGGTATATGGGATTCCCAATGGAACTGTACAACTTTGGAGGACAAACATCTTAGCAAAAAAAGGACAAAAATCGGCACACAGTCTTTGCAAGGGGCACTTGGTCCCTTTAAGTAAACCTCCTTAGGCTGGCCATACATTATACAATTATCTGCAGATTTTTGGTTTAGATTTACCAAAAACCATATAATAGGAGGACAAACCTAAACAACACTTTCAGTTGTATCCAATTAGGCAGGCCCTTGCACTACATAGTTGAAGGTAAATCTAAAGGAAATTGGGCAGAAAATCTGCAGATAATTGTATAATGTATGGCCAGCCTTAGACCCCAGATGAAAATCTCATCCACCTGGCTCTCTTGAGAGTGTCCCTGAGCAAGGGATTCCAGGACATAAAAATTAAGAAGGCCTAGAGAGAAGTACTTTTTTGGCCCAGGGTGTGTAGAAGTACTCACACTGTCCTGTTCCTGCAGCTTAATGGGTTGCAGCTGCTTTCAGGTCTTTTGCTGGACTGGTTCCTTCCCTGTTGACAGGCTTTTTTCTTCGGTAGACTGTGGGACAGTGGATGTCCTTCTGTCCAGCTTGAGCCTGTAGGCAGGGCCTCCTCACCTGGGGCCCCCTCCCAGGCTCCACAACTTCCTCACTCCATCTTCCACCTGACTCCAACAATGCCTTGCTGATCAGGCTTTGTCCTAGCCATCATACCAGTCCTCCTGCTGTGGGGATTGGCCATGGTTCCCTTAAACATGCATATCCAGGCCTCTTCCCCTCCTCTGCCCCTCTTCTAGAAAGTGCCAGTAGTTTCTAGAAGGGTGGGAGGGCTCCAGAAGACCTGAACTGTAGAGACTCCCAGCCTAACCTGAAGTGACCTCACTGACTCACTCCCAGGCTGACTCATACACAGGCATCTAGCAAGCCTCTAACTAATGTCAAAAATCCTACCTAATGTACAGGGTGCTACATGAATGTTAAATATCACTTTAAAAGTGTAAATAATTATTAGATCACTAATATGACTGCCCTGTCTGGCAAGGGTTCTTGCATTGTAAGATTGCTAACAGCCAATATAAACACATCTTTTGGCAGATAAAACAGCTCATATATACGAATTCCAACTTTGTATGTAACTATTTAATTAGAGCAGCGGTCTCCAAACTGTGGCCTGGGGGCCTAATGTGGCCCTATGCTTGCTTTTATCCGGCCCGTGGGTCATTATTCCCCCCACTGTCAGCAACAGCGGGGCATAGTTCCTGACACTGACAAATACAATGGGGGCACTAGTTCCCTCACTGACACCAGTGAAGGAACACTATTCCTCCCATCAATACCAAAGATAGGGCACTATTCCTCCCACTGACATCTATGGTGGGGCACTATTCCTCCCACTGACACCAATGATGGAGCATTATTCCTCCCACAGACACCAACGATGGGACACTATTCTTCCCACTGACACCAACGATGGGGCACTATTCCTCCCACTGACACCAATGATGGGGCACTATTCCTCCTACTGACACCAACAATGGGACACTATTCCTCCCATTGACACCAATGATGGGACACTATTCCTCCCACTGACACCAATGATGAGACACTATTCCTCCCACTGACACCAATGATGAGACATTATTCCTTTCACTGATACCAACGATGGGACACTATTCCTCTCAATGATACCAACGATGGGGCACTATTCCTCCCTATGATGGGGCACTATTTCTCTCACTGATACCAATAATGGGGCACTATTCCTCCCACTGACATCAATGATGAGACACTATTCCATCCACTGATACCAACGATGGGACACTATTCCTCTCTCTGATACCAATGATGGGGCACTATTCCTTCCACTGACACCAACAATGGGTCACTATTCCTAACATTGTTAACAACAAAGAGACAATATTCATCCCCTTAATACCAATGATGGGGCACTATTCCTTCCATTGACACCAATGATGGGACACTATTCCTCCCACTGACACCAACAATGCGGCACTATTCCTATCTTTGTTAACAACAAAGAGACACTGTTCATCCCCCTAATATCAATGACGGGGCACTATTTCTCCCATTGACATCAACGATGAGACACTATTCCTTCCACTGATACCAACAATGGGACACTATTCCTCCCACTGATACCAACGATGGGACACTAGTCCTCCCAATGATGGGGCACTATTCCTATCTTTGTTAACAACAAAGAGACACTGTTCATCCCCCTAATATCAATGATGGGGCACTATTCCTCCCATTGACACCAATGATGGGGCACTATTCCTCCCATTGACACCAATGATGGGGCACTACTCCTCTCCCCCCCTAATACCAATGATGGGGGCATTGTTTACTCCCATCGACACCAGGACACACTCTTCTCCTACCCGCTAGAGTTTGAAGAACAGTAATAAAACTCTTTGTTTAGAAAGTTTGGAGACCCCTGAATTAGAGTACAAAAAATGTGTTTGAATTTTTGCTTACATTTTCACTTGGTCAATAGATAAATGATTTTAGTCTTGGCATTTATTCAAATTGTCTAAAGCAAACTGAGAAATAGTATTTTCAATTCAAATTTCCAATGTCAAATTAGGATACCTACATTTGTCTGAAATACAATTCTATGTTCCCCCCCCCCCCCCATTCCTCGTCTTTATATGATTCCTGGTTATCCATCTGCCATAATTGTTATGTACACAATAAACAAAAGTTTATGGAAATAAATTTGTTTGAGAAGCAGCTACAAAGCTCTTTTAATATATAAAATTTTACAATTGCAAAAGCATCATTCCAAAATTCCTCCATAAGTTCTGTACAATTCTTAAATAGTTCACTTGTAAAGAGAAATGAATTATTTATAAAACTGTTGTCTGAATGTATCTATTAAAAAATTGGACAATACAAAGGCATTTGAAAATTGTACCATGTGTTTAGCTGTGTAATTTTCTCCTTATGAGTCTGTATTATTAAGTCTTTATGCAAATTGCCTTATTTAGAAAGCATATTATAATGAGCACATGCAGACGTGGAACACATGAACACTAAAGACACATAAATAACATTGTGCATTTCTTCATTAAAAAACTGCATGTTTTGAGTGCCTGAACAACAACGCTATATTTAAAGAAATGTATGGTGTTTTGTGTAAATGTTTTTTAATTATATTCAATACTAAAAAATCAGGAGCAGCAATAATTTATTTATATTGATATATTATCAAGTAAGCGTAAAAATGATTAATGGGGCTGAATCAAAGTAACGGTTCAATACAACAGTGCATGCAGCTGGTTAGGACTACATGCGAATATAGTTGTAACAAGAGTAACAACAAGGCTAGGTTCACACTAATGCGGTGCGGTACATCGCATTTGATTCCCACAGGAACCGCACCGCAGTCCTGTGCAAATCACATGTGATTTGTGTGCGGTGCGATTGAGTGGGCACAGTTACTATACTGTAACAATAACGCGTATAAAAATCCATGTTCAAGGCTCTGAGACTGTCTAGAATTCTTTGAAATTGTGTTGGTGCTTGACCCAACTGCTCAACAATGTATGGGAAGTTGGATTTAACTCAGGCCTAGCCAAGTAGGCCAGAAGTG